ATTAAATGAGAATAAACACACGTTGTGTGAAGCAATAATCGATAAGAGTATAACCTCGAGATAAAAGGGAAGTGCAGCAAAATCGCCATTCAACAACAATAGCACATGTATAGGCGCTCGTATCATACAATAAGACAAATATGTTGTGTTAGCCAGTTGTTCCACATGTCTCTAATCTAAGGAAAAATTCGTTTTATTCAATCTTAAAATAAAGATTTTCGTTAATAACCTGTATTTTCTATTAATTAATAAATAATACAGTGAATGTGTGGACACAAAAAGGGAAATTTTTATAAAGTCTTATTTTTAGAAAATAAATACTAATTAACAATTTACTAACAATGAATACCTTCTATCCTAATATAAACAAAAAGTTTTACGAAAATAATCACATTTATGATTTTAAAAGTTATATTTCTCAACTGTAATACTTTTTATGGCTCTAAATAATTTTTTATTTTTTTTCACTTATTATTAAGAAAATATATTTTAATTATTATACATTTTTTTAGAAAAAATGATTTTGAAAAATATACAATCTATTTTATTTTTTGTTAATAAATTGCTAATTAATGTTTACTTTCTAAAAATAAGATTTTTTTTTTAATCTGTCCTGTAAGAATTTTTCCACTTATTGTATGTGATAATAAATATATAATAAATGATATATAACTGACAAGTATTCTGCCGCATTTTATTTGTTATTATTGTCACGATTCATCATTGATATTCAAGACGGTTTCCGTACAAACTTTGTATAATATAGACATTCCACATATATTCGATGCAAAAAAAATTTCCAAAAAAAAAGACGAGCAGATTGCCTTATTTGTTATCTTTTTGAAAGTATCAAATATTTATCCAACCACAGTTTTCTTTCTCCTCACGATTGCCGTGTGCGCGAGATAGATAAAGAGAAGTATAACTCTTCGTTGAATTTAGAGTTATTGTTTAATCGCATTTTTGTACGGGAGAAACTGAATCTGGAGGAAAAAAATAAGAAAACAATGTTCACGTGTATGAAAAATAAATTTATATTTATAAAATGGGGCAAATATTGTATAGGTCTCGTTGACAAACTATTTACACTCGAACGAGAGGAATTCGAGATACATCTTAAATCAGACTACGATAGAAAATAAAACAAAAATGCAGTGCAACAGAGTCGGAATCTGAGTTCGACTCCACAGATTCGTCGTTTTAAAACTAATATGGCAAATCTCTCGGAAACGATTGATACCGGATGTTCAGACAATTGTCCTAAATATGCATAGATTTTCCGGGCAGATCCGCCTCTTGGGATCGTTTTGGCGAAGGGAAGAGGTATAACGTTAAGTCACAATTGTCGTATCCCGCCTACGTGGCAAGAATTCAAGCGAAACAGATCGCGATTATATATATATATTACATATAATATATATATTATAATATTTATATTATATATAATATACTATATTATAATACATATATTATATATAATATACTGTATATAATGAAATATTAAAGTTGTCTATCGCTGAATTACTTGCCATGCATCCTTCCCGAAAAAAATTTCGTCCGCTCGATGATGTATAATGTAGATATTCTCCGTGCTTTTCATCGAAGAAGTATCACGGGTGAAGCATCAATAAACTGAGGTGTACTGAGTGATTTATTATACATGGAGTAATGCACGCTAACGTCACAAGTAAGCTCGAACAAAGAGATGGCACGAAATGCGAAATGCCAAATGAGGTGAATTCATTCGAAAGATAGGATTAATCTAAAAGTGTAAAGGAGTTAGATTAACAATACGAAATGATTGTTAGAATAATATGAACAAATCATCATTGTTAGATTAAATGAGCCTTAATTCCTGAGAAAATTGTGGTTAAAGTCAAGATTTGGTACGAAATTGTACAATAAGTACTAGAACCCTGCAGAAAGATGGTGTAATTGAGACGTGCGTATATTTTTTCTCTCACGACCGTTGCGACTGATGGAATTCGGAATCCCTCTTGCAGTAAGAACTTGTTTTTAAGTAACTGTTATATATATATATATATATCTGTGTATGTATATACGTATGTGTGTAGTAATTTAAAAAAATTTTTAATTTTTTACTATAAAATTCAAACATTGCCATACAATGTTGTGGATAAAAATTAAAGTACAATTTATAAATTACACATCAATTTAATTACATTGAATTATTTAAGCACTAAAAATCCTGCTTAACCGTTTAGAGCCTTTATTTCCTATTCCTATTTATTGTATATTCATATTACCGTCTTAAAAGATACTTTTACTTAATGTCGTTTATACATCGGTTTATTTTCATCATCGCGGAAATTTTCATTGTACATATGAATGTTCTTCTGATCTCCCTAAAAATTAACAATAGATAAAAATAGATTGCTCACATAAGATATGACAAATAATAAATTAAAAATCTAAAATATGTTACTCATTATATATACAGGATGTTAGTTAAGTATGTTGCCATATTCAACAAAGCGATTCTTTGGTTTATTTCAAGTAAAAAAGTCCATATAAACATGTGTCCTAAACGGCTTAGTTTCCGAAATAAAAAAATTTAAACGTGTAGTAATAATCTGTTTATTTGAAAGAAATACAGCTTGAACTAGTCAAAAACAGAAAAACAAAAACAGGCTTCAGTTCTTCTGATGAAATAAAATAATTAGATGAATTGTTGGAAAATATTCACCTTGCGCCATGATACATCCATCGAGCCTTCTTCTCAAAGATTGATGTACACGCTCAAAAATCAGAACTGAAGTCTATTTTTAATTTTGTGACTTTGACTTTGACTTTGTCACTTTGGTAACATACTTAACTAACATCCAGTATATATATATATATATCATTATATATATTAATAAACAAATATATATATATTGTACACTTTTGCTTTAAAAAAATGAAACTTTATTAAATTGTACAATATAATAGTTACTTAAAAAAAAGTTGATACTACAAAGGGATACAACATCGATCACGATGACCGTGGACGAAAAATGATACGCGCGCCTCAGCATTCTCAGCAGTCTCAATCAAGCAGACTTCCTGCTTATCGTTGCAAGGTTCTAATATTTATCGTACAGCTCGGATTTCTAACTTTAACTTACAATTTTCTCAGAAACTAAGATTCATTCATTCTAACCATTGTACACTCAATTCCCCCTTTCGAATGAACTATGATTCATTCGATAGAGGTGTGCAAAAATAATTTTGCTTTCCCAGAAATGTGTATATACAATATACAAGTAAATGAAATAATACTACATATATATAAATATATGTATATACATATATTATTTTAAAGATTCTTAATATTGTTTTTTATTATTTTAATTATGGGATATACTAAAAAAACAGACAAGAAAAATCGTGTTAATAGATATATAAAGATAGTTTTAATAAAGACGCTGTCAACAGATTCAGGAAGCTGTGGTCGCATTGAATTTGTACATAGATGTACAATTCAATGAATCTATGCTTCGATAGCCTGTGACTTTGGTCGCCTGTATGCTATGCACGCTTGCTAGGCACGCTAAAGAATTTGGCATTTCGCATTTTGTGCTATCTTCTTAAGCTCGAACTTTCATCTGTTTTCGAAGTCAGAAAACTTTCGAGGAATCCCCTTTACGTCCATTCCGGTTCATGTAATGCATAATATCTTCTCGTAGTCTCTCTAGTTAAAACTTTGTTACGAATGGCACGTTTGCTCATACATAACTCTGGATAGCTAACGCTTCTCTGAAACTTTCCCCCAGATGATTAATTATAATATAACGATAAAAACAAACAACCCCCATCGTCATCACTCTTGCGCAATCGACATCTCCGTCACATAAATTAATATCTTCTCACTTAACAAGAGCTAACAATAAATTTAGCTTTGGCAGTAGAGTCCACTTAATCCACGTGCTCGTAAAGAAAATCTAGCAAATAGATCTCTTCTTGGCAAGGATGCAGTACGTATGGCGATAAAAAAAAAAGGAAAAAAAACATACAAGTTTTATGATATCGACGTGAATCCTTTTTTGTTTCATTATAAACAAAAGTAATATGTACGCGAAATATTAGACGGCATAGACGATACAATGGCAATACTATTCAATTACAAGAAAAGAGATGATTACATAATAAATAAAATCTACCATATATGTATATGTACATGTTATCTATAAATCTAGGACAAAATTTCATAACAATCGTTTATATACCTATATATGCAACGTAAGGATATAATAATAATTAAGGACAAGAACACTGCGAGGTAACAATTTCCTTGAAAACGAGTACCTTAACATCAAGGATCGGGGCACACGATAGACTTTAGGTTTAAAAATAGCATAATAGGATAACGTAGCACTGCTCGCAAAAGTGCCTCGTATACTGGTAACGATTTCATCAGTCTGTACGTATTGCTGACACTGTATAGCGGCGTAACTATATCACTACTTTCATATCCACATGCTCTAAATAATGTAACATTACGTAATGTTGTTATACTGGTTATAAATTGTACGATTATAACGGAGGAAACAGTTTTGTATATCACTCGGATATTTCCTAAGAAATATGCGTAAAACATCAACATTTAAAGTGCCATGCACATGCAGAGTGTCATTTCACATCCGAAATGTTTCACGCGACATGCACGAAGTCGGGTACGAAATTCATATTTCACGACCGAGCGCGAGGCGTAAGCGAGAAACTATTAATAACTAAAATTGTATCCTTCTTTCTACGTCACACTTGGGTCACTTTTAAAACGTCAGCGGCAATAAATAACATAAAATGTCTTTTCGTAATTCCTTCAATAATCATACGTATGCGTATTTACAAATTGCACATTAAGAAATGTATTGCATTTACGATTAATTAGGCACCTCGTTAACAAGAAAATAATATACACATTATGTGAAAATAAATTATAATTACACACACACACGCACACGCACACGCACACGCACACGCATACGCATACGCATACGCACACGCACACGCACGCACACACATACACACTAAACGATGATGTGAGACTGTAAACTGTCTTGATCATTACTTAGTACATCAAGAAGACAAGGAAATAAACTGTATGAAAGGAATACTCTATGTAAAGTAGAAAAAAGTATACCTGATTGCCATCGCAGTGATAGCGACTATAGCATCCGAGACAAATCGAGAGCAGAGAAGTATGATTTCGATAAGAGTCATATTTGTGCAATATTTTTAAATAGAAGAAGCCATTGATATTTCTTCATTCTCGATTCGGCATGAATGCTCAATACGTTAAATAAATGAGGAACATTATACACAAACTCTAAGATGCAAACTAAAGCGAATCCTCAGGATACTACACAACAACACTTTCTACATCTAGTCCGTCTTTCCATAATGTTGCTCTTATATCGTTCAGTGACTTTGTAAGCTTTCAATTTTAATCTAACATTTCCTGCGTTATCACTGATATCCTGACTGTGCGCCGAATTACTTCTCGTTGTATTTTTCGAGGTGCACGTCTTTTGTTTGCTCTCACAACTTGTAATCTCTGCGTCGTGACTTACCGCTTGTATATCTGGGCATATCTTTATCACGTGACTGTCGCAATCTTGATCTCTAAGAGGTTCTATCTTCGTCTCAGCCTTCTTGTGTGGTGTATCGAGAGTTTCTACATTTATTCTGTCTAGATTCATATCGGTTTTTTCACGCCTTCTCCGTAATGCCTGTAGAGAACTCGATTGATTTTCCAATAAGATTTCGGTGTATTGTATGTTTTTGAAAGAAGATTCATCTGGAACATTCCGTTCCATAGTCAATTTATCATTCGTTCTATCGGAAACAACGTCACTTTGCACGTAAAATGTGTTTCTCACAATAGCTTGCGCTTCTATTTGACATTTCGTCTCCTTACACATATCGCATTCATCCTCGATAAATTTTCTATCGTCCTCTTCAAAGTACAAGTCTTTATTTGATATCAATTCGTTGTGGTCTTTCAAATATGTGTTATTCTCCTTTCCTACTATTCTATCTGTACTTGGACTCAATCTGCTGCATTCTTCCTCATCCATCTTGTCACAAATCTCTGACTTTTCCGAACTTACAGCATCGCCACTCAGTGTTTTTGTGCGGCCATCTGAATATGTGCTCAGTTTGTTTTCCGAATAATTACTCAATCGGTCGTCGTGGAAGTATGTAGAGCTTGCGTTCGACTCGAAGTTACTTGCATTTATTATTGCTATCTTCGGTATGATCAGATCGGGCGGCAATCCGTCGACAATGTCCGGAGGACTCGAGTTCGAGGAAGATTGGTTCGCAAAATTACTGAAGGAATGATAACCTTGCTGTCCCTTACTTTGGACCCAAGCTTCTGTTAAAACGTGGGATCGTTGCCACGACACATCGCTGTTGCATCTATTTTTTCTTACGCACCATTGATCGTCAGCATCGGACCAGGAACGCAAATGGCACTCGCTGGGACTTCTCTTGATGTCCGAGACATCAACTTCCAGATCCGCATCCTCGTGCTTCTTATTTTGCACAATCAGTTCTAATCTGGACTTCAATAAAGCCGGCGACACAGCTCGATCAATGTGTCGCCTTGACGTGTTCGATGTCTGAGTCGATCGCAGCATTGACGTCGCATTATCACCGCCAACATTGCTGTCGATGTGATCCGTATATAGATCCGGAACCTCTCCGGAAGCCATCAGCGCGTTTGGACTCGGACTGTCCATACTATCTGGTGTGTAAGGATCATGCTTAACAGGTATTGCGTGCAACAGATTAGATGAAATAGAATCCGAACGCACGTTAGCGTAACTATTACAATCAGGCAACATGGACAACAACTCCAAGTAATTGTTGGGCACTCGGAAGCAAAACTCAGGTGCAATTGGCAAGTTGCAGCAGTCTAGCATACCTGCATCCGAGACGAGAGTAGCCTTCAAGTAGACTGGCTGTAAATGGTAATGAATCTTTATGTATTATCGTGCGTTATAGTAAGAAAATGATAAGATGATTATGAAGGGTTTGTGTATTATAGGATTCTATGGGACAGGTAGACGATCTCAAGCTAACATTTCATCTTTAAAGGTATAATGATATATAGTAATGTACTTTTCAATCTGTTAACTTTATCGATATGATATTTACCAAATATACGCGTAGAACTTTAAAGAATCAATATTTCAATCAAGCATTATAATATCATATTTGACAATCATTTTCCAAGTATAAAAATTATGATATATTTTTTTAGACATTTAAAATTTTATATCTCACACCATTTTATATTAGTAATATTTTTTACAATATTGTGTTTGTATACTGTAATGCCCGCATCAGATTAGAGTCATTAAGATTGAAATTTAACCAATCAAAAGAAAGAAAACCATATCAAATTTAGTGAACTTTGCCTTGATTGGTCAAATTCCATTTCAATCTCTAATCTAAGTATAATACTGCCTGTAGAATATGATCAGTACTTTAATTTAATATACTGCATAATAATTAATTATTAACAATATAATACAACTTATTTTATATATATCAATATTTATGTTTTTTATAATATAATGTTTCCAAAATTAAACATAATTTTAAAATCATTAGTGATTATCGCTTTTTATCATGCTATTACATAATAATAAATATTCTCGTGCGTCGAAACAAAATGTTGTTCAGCAATATAGAAAAAAAAATAGAAGGAGCGTTACAATGCGTTGATAATTGATAATTAGATTGAAAAAGTACGATTATTCCATGATAACGATAATAAAGTTAAGAATTATAAGAGAAAGAAATAGATTCAAAAAGTAATGTAGAAATAAAATACTTCAGGATACTACGTGTGTGGAGGTGCTACATTAAACAAGCCCCTATTATGTTTATTGTCAAGATAACGAAATACTAACAGAATAAGAGACGTGAAAGACATAGGGGATTTCAGATAAGAACAGACAGACAGTTCATAGATAAGTACCTTAATGCTTAGAGATTCATTCGAAACTCCAGAAAAACAGGCTGCATCATAATAATTGAAAGAATGGATCATCAGAATAAGAACTAGGCAGTGTGTAAGTATATGTTCCCAGCATAATAAGTAAAAAATGTCGTAGTATCGTTTTATAAATGTAAGAGAAAGATGGTAATTGGAAAAAACTTTTAATCTTACCTTGTGATCACCCATGCACGTATTTGGGCCGATTATACCGTACTCCACTGCCTTGGAATCATCAATCTGTACAAAGGAACATAAGCTTTATACTGACGAATTCTACAATTCACTTTTAGAATCGATGTGCATCGCGAATATAAACTCCACAGAAGCACGTACATTTTGGACTAGCGTTTTCGCAGTGGGGCTCAATAAAACCCGATCGCACCAAGCTGGCACTCTTGTTTGCATATAATTTACAGGCTCGTTAATATCTTCCTGAAACGGGTAACTTGGCACAAAGTTGATTGGAAACTCGAACAACCTTCCTTCAAAGTCCCCCAGTTCTTTATCATAGTCGCGTAACTGCATAAATATGAATAGTTCAATTATTGGCATTCTAATCTATCGATTGAATATGGATCATACCATATTATATGGTATATCATATACATAAATGTAACTTACCCATTCACCGTTATTTTTGATGAAAATGTTCTGATGTTCATAGTGAGAAAATTCTTTTTTGCCTAACGTTAATATGAGATCATCATTTTGGTTGTGAAATTGCAATTTCGAAATATTTCCCTTATTTGATAACTTCTTTTCTTGAGTATTTTCTGTCAGTTTCTATTAAAGATAAATTAAAGTGCTGTAATACATTTGATTTTAATATAATTATTTCATTTATATACAATAATACATATTATTCATTTGCTACAACAATTCAAACGTATGACATATACAAAGTAAAACACAGTTGTACTGTTAAATAATATTGCTTTTAACAATAATAGAAATACTAATTTATTTACGAAAAATTAATATGTTTTTAAGAATTTTTGATATACTAATTTCTTCCTTGTTTCTAATTTCTTCCTTGATTTTTATCAAAATATTATCGTAGCTGCTGATGGAGTCTCACCTTTATTACACTTGCTGTGTCTGTCCTAAAATTAAAGTCACCAAATAAAAAATACGGCACATTTGGATATTTGTCATTATGAAATTTATCTAATGTGTGCTCGAGCGCTCTTCTGCGTGTTTTACTGTATACCGATGGAAACTGTAAAAAAAAAATTATCAAATTAAAAAATAAATCGACACGCACACAAACACATACTAACGTATACCGAATAATATCGTAAAAATTTCTTACCATCTCCATAGCAATAAAATTACTCGCGTCATGAAATAAGTGTATGTTTATGAGATCAAAAACTGTTCCACTAATACTCCATCGGGTACGCAGAAAACCCTTTCTGGACCATTTGCATTCTGGGAAAAATTCTTGAGGAAACTTAGCTTTCTCTTTGGTACTAACTGCTTCTATGTTGCCCGAGTGGACATCTTTTCCATTTACAGGTATAAAAGACAATTCTAAAATCATATAATAATAGAAAAATATTACATATGATTATTGGGAACCATTTAAAATGAAGTTATATGGTACGTACCATTAAAATCCCATAATAAAACATCGTTTAAAGACTCGTGCACGAAGTAGAAACTTCCTAGAGCCTACAAAAGAATCTTGATAAGAATATTGCTTTATTTAAAGCAATTGAGTATTCAATAGAAGTTATATTCCACAACTCACCGTAAAATGTTCAGCGGATGAATAATCCTCGTCAAGAAATACCCTAATTTTGTCAAACAACCTTAATTCTTCCGATGACATAAGTAATCTGTAAATAACATGTTTCATTATGCATTAAATTGCAGTAGAAAAATATGATATAAGCTTCAGATGAAAATCTCTATAAATAAATTTTTCAAACAATTTTTTTTATATGTAATATATACATTTCTCCCCTGTCAATATCATACAATCAACTTATCTTTTGAAGTGACTCACTCAACTATAGAATCACGCGTGATGCATCTATTTTTATCCCTTTCTGCCAGTTATGCGTTAAATCATATTCAATATCATATATGTGGAAAAAGAAAGCTATTTGTTTTGGTATATTTATAAAAGGTTTAAATACATAATATCGATACAATGATAAAGATCAAAAGTTAAATGATCGTTATAAATACGACTGGAATATTTTACAAAAACAACATTAGACGAGTGTATACAGGCTATCTTAATAATTTAATTATAGCCAAATATTATAGCTCTTGGAAACCTTTCAAGAAGTTCCAATAATAAGATTATAACACGATACCTTCAGAATCTACAAAACGCTCAATCTCTCTGTATGCGTGTAATTTATCATGCTGCATATTTATTGTTTGCTTTATTACAACCTATTGTTAGAAGTGACAATAATGATAAATACGTCTATTTATTTCTATAATTATATATCACGGAGAGGAACAGTTGGAACGCGAGTTGAACCCAGATGAAAAATGTGACCTTTACCTAACAAAGTCCTCCACGTGCCTCATACTTTGCTCGTAATTCTTTCCACCTACTTCTTGGCAGTGCAGCGCTATAAATTTTGGATCCAGCCTCGATATGGTCTGAAAAAGCACTCCACTTGTAACCAAAAAAAAAAAAGGTCGTGCATCGCCGGCGTCGCCAAGCGAATCGCATAAAACGTACGGGGATGGTACTTACGGATAAAAACTCTTCCGTCCATATCTTCAGCATGACACTAGGCTGCAAGAAGAGATAGCTCGTATCAATCTATGAATCCTTCATACTTCGTGCACTTTAAAGAAAAGCTTAATGAGATGTTCGAGGGCGCGCGGATATATTAATAGATTGTTAACGTCACGCGCAAGGTTTTATCGGCGCACACCACCAACCTCCCCCATGGCACCCTCTCCTGATGCGACGACAAAAAAGCACGCGACGGGTGTTCTTTTCTCTGAGTTTCGCGCAAACGACGGATACGATAATCGATCGTGGTAATGGAGAACTCTTTCGCGCGCGCAAATCTGGCTGATCCGACGTCGACGAACATGCGGACTCGTTCTGATTAAAAATCAGAGTCTGATCACGAGATGACAAACTTTTAATTGATTCATCGTTTTCGTCAACTTCAGTAAATTAGAACAAGTATAAGTCAGAATGAGATAGTACAATATATTGGGTTAAAAGGAAAGTAATGTGTCGTGTATTTTTAGCTGAAAATTATATACACTGAGCAAAAAAATTACTAAATTTTAATAAATATTTTTTTAAACAGTCCTAACGGAATATTTACTAAATGTAAACACATATTTATTAAATACGAGAACCATTAGTTCGATTTAACTATCATTTTTTTCATTTATCTAAATATTTATTTATTGTAAGTAAATATTCCGCTAGGACTATTCAAAGAAATATTAAAATTTAATAAATTTTTTTCTCAGTGTATGAAATGTATTCGTGAAAAATAAACAAAATTTAAATTTAAAAAAAAAACAGTTTTAAAGTTTAAAATTAAAAACTTTCAAAGGGTTACTATGTTGAGTTTGTGTGAAATGGTAATTTTTATCAAAATTATGAGCTAGACAAAATTGGAAATATTCTTCTCACTTTGTGAGCTTGTCACGTGCTCCAAAAAAAATTGCAAAAATTTTCTAACGTGAAAGTTTAACCCTTTATGGTCACACTTTTAAAAAGCCACACGATGGTTACTTTGGGTTAAAATGACCCGACCCATCTTTAAAGAGTTACTAAATCGACAGTATTAGTTGCAATGATTTAAAAAAAATACAGTATATACTTTCATCCTTTAAGAAAATAGAACAGTGGCATTTTTGTGAAAAATTTAATTTTAACAAAAAAAAATCATAAACATGTATTAGAATTTAGCGTGCAAGTTACATGTACATAGTCTTTCACGCTAAATTCTAATATATGTTTACGATTTTTTTTAGTGTTAAAATTAAATTTTTCACAAAATGCTCGGGTGATTTTGACCCAGTGTGACCATGAAGGGTTAAAGTTTTCTCTATAAATTCGTTTTTTAAAAATGTTACTAAGATTTTTTTTTATTATTGAATTATCGTAGGTTAAATGAAAGAAGTATTTTGACTTTGATTGCTCACAATTCCGTTAAAAATCATAGTACTGCAATTTAAAAAACAGATTTTTAAAGCTGAAACTTTGCTCTAACACTGAATATAATAGTATCTTGAAGATTAGTTTGGTGAATAAAATAAAAATGATTAGAGTCTCGACCTCTCACATTCTCACGTTCGGTCAATTTTAAATAATCCTGTTACATTCGCGAAGAGTAATCGTTTAAATGACAAATTACAAATTAATTAGAGTACAGTTTAAATGGTCCGATTACTCTGCTTTAATATGCAATCAATATAAAGAAAGCTCGAGATCGTCGAAAGAAATTTACGAGTTTAAAGGGCTATTGTCTTCTTGCGACCAACGCGGATGGTTCGTGTATAGCCATACCTAACTAAATATGTGTACGTACGTCAAGTGTGTGTGTGTGTGTATATATATATATATATATATATATATATGTGTCTTTTGTCTCGTACCGATAAATTCTGCGAAGATGGATACTTGTGACGATGCAATCGCCATAGTATAATAGTATATAATTTTATCCTAAAAACACGATATTACTTTTCTTCCAACCCAATATATACATATAAAGGAAGACAGTATACAGGATGTTCCAACATTCGCGACTCAAAATACCGTTGTAAGAAAGTTCTCAAAAAATTAAATGAAAAAGTTATTTATAAATTTTTATTTTAAGCAGTATTTTTTGAAACAATAAGGGTTTAAAAATGACTAATTACAGACGTTTAGGTGACACCTGTTCATGAGTTACGATATTAATGAGCGCTAACGAGTGCGTACTTCAGCAAGTTCACTAATACTCACAGGTGACTATCTAAATGTAGTCTATAATTGGCCATATTTAAACTCTTATAAACAAGAAAACGAAGCAGACAAATAAGAGTCACGCACAGTTAATGAGGTGCAATGAACAGTATGTGTTAAGAAATTACATTTATTTAGACGTTTTGGCTCTTTTTCAGGCCAATAAATATTATCTCTAACAATATGTAAAATTTTAAAGGCGTGGCTCTCATTTGCCCGCTTCATTTTCTTGTTTGTTTTAAATTATCTAGAATCTACACTAAAAAAAATTTTGTTTATTTTTGGTCCAGTGAATGATCGTTAATCAATGTCCGATTTAATGTCCGACTTAATGTAGTTAATTCATTGATATAATAATGTAGTTAATTCATTGATATAATAATTGGATTCATTTATACAACTATATATTCAGTCTTGCAATGAATTCTAGTAATAGTTTTACAATCTAAATCATTATGAGAATTCATTGGACCAATTTTCATTATTTTTTCATAATTCAATGAATATTTTATTGTATTTACGTACAGTTTTGGTTCAGTGTATTTGTAAATTATCATCATTGTCTTAAATTTGAATTTAAACCTTTATACCTCAGAAACTATTGCCTAAAATATTAAATATTTACAAAAATTTAACTTTATCTTCTTTTTCTTTTATCGTAGGCGATGCCTGTTTTCCTTCACGCGTTGTAATCTGGGTTCGTTACAAATAATTTTTTTACTAAATTTTTCCAAAACTTTCTTGCTATAATATTTTGAGTTATAAATATTTTGAGACCCTGTATATATATATATATCTTTCTCTCTCTAGTAGAATTTTGACGAAATCACTCGTGACTAGACTCTGATATAGGGATCTCTAGTGCTGATGCAAACGATTCCCCGTGACTTTCACAATTCTGATGACGCAATGTTAAATTTATAGTGTCAAATTATATTCAATTCGAAATATTTTTAATCATTTCTATAGATCGCACTGCTCGTGCACTTAATATGTCGTTAATTTGACTGAAACAATGTAGTTAAATAATTTAATTCAAGAAAATGTATTAAATTTGACTCAAAGTTAGTTTATTATTTACTAAGTGCACAACATTAATATATGAATATATTATTTACTTTAAAACTAACTACAGAAATGGATTGATTTACATTTTAACAAGTATATAAATTAAATATAATAAAATATTATTTAACTTTAGGAATTGAAGTGCCATTGCTTCTTTGATATCTAGTAGCAAATTCGATTGAGCGCATTCAATGCGTAATAGTGCACATTAAAGCCGTTGTACACAAATAGACGTAAAGATATGTGTTTAATATAAAAAAAGAAATAGATTAAATCATAAAACTCTTATAATAGTACCTTTATTGTGCTATTTGATAAAATGTATTTTATAATTCAAACTATTAACATTTAATTTTTAAACTTGGATTAGATCAGGGTACAACGACTTTAATATGCATTAGTACATCCAATCGAATGCTATAATAGTGCGACACGAGAAAATTGATGCTTCGATGGAAGTATCAACAAACGTCGGTGCACGCACTCGAGAATCGATATCGGGTATGAGTGTTTCCGACCGTTCCATCCACGTGACTATCGAGAGATTGGGTGCTTTCCATTTAATGACACAAGTCGACACAAACATCATTCTATAGGGCTGCGCACAATCAAAGGCTGCGTTCGGCAGAAAAAACTAATCAGTTAGCGCTTAATAATTATTTAATATGATTGGTTCCTATACACTTAGATCCAATGAAGAACTAAAGGCAAGAACTAATTATATTAAAGAATCACTAAGCGCTAACTGATTAGTTTTCTCTGTTGAACGCAGCCAAATAGGATATAGGGAACGGAGAATAAAAATTTTAACCTGATCAGAAACTGTGTGTATTCCACAGTACATGGTTTCTGATAGGCTGAAATTCTTATTCTCTGTTCTCTGTTCCTTTGATTGCGCGCAGTCCTTATCTTTCTTGACACTCAGAGAGTAACAAAGATGGAACGACACTTGTGTCGACTTGTGTCATCAAATGGAAAGCACCCATTATCGCGCGATTCACTTATTATTATTTGTTTCCGTTATTAAATACAATTGCGCTTAATCGTCGTAAATAATCGAAATTATTTATGCAAGTTCGTACAAGGTTCTTTTTCGCATTGGGAAATCGATATCAGGAATGCAAAGCGCACTAGAAAGCGTTTCGAGGAGCAAATTTCTCAATTTGGTAATCGATTGTTCAACGAGAACTCCTCCTCCTTCATCTCGAATACCTATATACTTAGTTTGTCGCAACTAGATCCCGCTTGGAAAAACGCGAAAGAGAACGTTTCGTTTAAATCGGACGTTACGAAGGACAAAAGAAAGCTTGTAAACATATTTCTCGCAAACTTTTCCAAGTTACATAATCACGCTAACAATTCGTTTCGCGGTATCGTATTATCGTAGATTTCACATGGGAAATTATTGTAAATTTATACATGTATTCATCGTGACGCTTGTGAAACACGTGACAGTGTCAATAACAAGAAATGGCGAAAGTAAAAGATAAGCTTAATTCTTGTGTCGCGGATTGTATATCTAATTTATATAAAATACTGTCGTATTTTTTTTTACACGTTATGAAAAAATTTAACGAGGAATTTCACGCTCTCTTATATTTGCGTTTGTCATCGTAACAAACTAAAAAAAATTGGAACGAACATTTAAACTCGATAAAAAGACAGGGCTAGACATGTATTTGAAATACTTTTATTCAAAACACAGTATTTGCAATGCAAGTGCATTTCGCATTTTGTATTTCAGCAGAGAGCGCATGAAAGTATTTTGTATTTAAAATCGAAAGATTGAAAGTTTTTTGTATATTTTGTAATTCAAATAGTAAGATTGATTGTCAATCAACACATAATATTTGAAATTCAAAATACAAAACACTTTCAATCTTTCAATTATTAATACTGAGATACAAAAATACTTTTATATACTCCGATGAAATACAAAATATTTTTATGTGCTCTGCTGAAATACAAAATACAAAATACAATCATTAGGTCCACAATTTTGCTTTAAGAAACCTTAAGTCATGAGGCGAAAGAGATTAAGTGGCAATAATTTCTGTCTTTTTAAACTTGTTTTTACGTCTTCAGGCTTTAACCGTTAAGGTCCAGCTATAATACAATTAGCAGTAGGCAGTAATGTAATAAGACGCAAGCAGTAGCACAATTTTTACAACCACGTCTGTCTGCAATGAAGACGACGTAGCGGCAGCTACGATATAAAGTCAATCAGAAAATACACTGTTTGAGGTTACATGCAAAATAGTGATCGAGTTTTCTCAGCAGTTGCAACAGTTATGAATTCACTGATTCACTGATAATACTGAAAATCGTCGTCAAACATAGCCTCAAAGTGACGCAAGACGCTTGCCGTAGGCAGTACCGAAATGGAAATGGTTCATTTCGTTTACGACTACAATTGCGATCTACTAAACCGGAAATACATCTTTTACGACTATTGTTAGGGCCTAAAACTCTCTATTGTAGTTAGACCTTTAGACTTAAGCGAATATTGACCAAAATCCAATACTTACGGCCTAAAGGGCCTAAAAATAAATTAATAATAAGAGTGTTGAGAAGGACTACGAACCATAAGAAAACAATATTTAAAATGAAGATATAATATAATTAAGAAATAAAATAATAATATACAAACGACGTGTTTCGAGCCCGATCGGATCATTCTCAATGTTAATAACAATGTGATAAGTGCATACATAATTTAAAATACAAAACGGTTTAAAATTAGTGGATAACTTTGTACTTCTGAGCCTGATAATCAAGACGTGTCTTCGCAATATTGCTTCAATTCACAAGTACCTTTATATTTTTATTGATATAAAAAGTTTTAGTATGCGGACAGATACTAATGATTTTTTATTATTGGACACTATAACATACTTAATACATTTAAAGACCTCGAATTGATATACTTATAATTGCGATATATCTATAACGAATATTTTTACGCACAATGATTTTGTCAAACAAAGAGCTTTTTATATTGACATCTAATGACACAGCATTTTGGACGTAACATCAACTTAATAACGACAGGATGCGATCTTATGTGACTAGTTTACATCTATCAGAAGTCTGTACATATATATTTTTTATATTTTTTTATCTTTTTATCCATCAATTTTAAACCGTTTTATATTTTAAATTATATATATACTTATCACATCGTTATTAACATTCAGAATGACCCAATCGGGCTCGAAACGCCGTTTGTGTATTATTGTTTTATTCTTTTCTCAACACTCTTATTATTAATTTATATTAATTAAACCATATTACACGATATATTCTAAAAGCATAAGTTCTGTGGCCGATATATCGTCACTTACAATTTAAAGCTTACGGTTTACGGCCTCTTAAAGCAAGGTTATGGACCTAGCCTTAAGGATTCTAAATGGTCAAGCTAGAGCTTTAGTGTTGAAATAATTCTGTGTGAATTTACATACTACATATATGTATAGTTCTTTTTAAACTGCGCGTCGAAAATTATTTTCGGTCTTGAAACGCAAGCCGATTGAACTACTGTAATAATATCACAAATTAAATTGATAAGCAATTTAATAATTTGATGTTCTATCGACATCCTATTAGAAAAATCTCAATGTGTTGAAAATCTGTAAATAAATTTATTGCGAAAATATTTAAAAAGTCCTCAGAAAAAGGACTACATATATATAGTATATAAATTCACACAGAATTATTTAAGCATTAAATCTAGCTTGACCATTATTTAGGGTCCTTATTTCCCAATCGTGTGTAGTATACCACATAATGGTTTTATTGAAAACTTTGTATTCAAAATACAATTGTTTTACAAATACTGTTTTTCAAATAAAAGTGTTTCAAATACATGCCTTGGTAAAAAATATAATACATTAACAATTCTATTTTTTAAATAATCAAAATATTCTGACTCAAGAATTTTTTAAAAAGTGAAAATTGCCAAAGGAGAAAGGCTACGAGTCAAAGTTAGTTGTTAATTGCTAATAATTATAATCTATCTTTAATATCCAATCGATATAAACATTTAATATAGACGTTTCAACTTTCATCAGGTCATTTTCAGTGTAAAACATAAAAATTAAACAATTAAACATAAAAATAAAAATAAAGGGGTCGCAATATCGGTTACAGAATCGTGAAATATTTAAATATACAGATTGAATATCGCACAAGGTCTATATATTAAATGTTTATATCGATTGGATATTAAAGATAGATTAATTATTAGCAATTAACAACTAGTTTTGACTCGTAGCCTTTCTCCTTTGGCAATTTTTACTTTTTTAAAAAATTCTATTTTTATTAATAATTTTCTTTTATGGAATCTTAGAAATTCTCTTATAAAATCTTGGGAATATCTGTATGTTTGAAAACTGTTCCGAATATTTCTTGTCGTTAGTTATTTAGAAACAAAAGGCTTTTTAAAAATTTGGAAATTTTTAAAAGAGATAACTTGATGATTTTTTGAGCAATTTTACACAATGTATTATGATATTTCGGAGCATAGATATAACAAAACATCAATCATTTGCGACACAATTTAAAAAATAAGATTTTTTAAAAAATAATTTTGAATCAATTAAAATTTTGTAATATTAATTTTAAAATGTAATTTGTAATAACTGATTATAGAGGAATAAAGATATGTTCTTTACAGAAAAATGATTTTGAAGAATTAAAAAATTAGCTACACTAAAAAAATTGTTGTCATTTGACTAAATTAATTTAGTTTATTATTTCTTCCGTTGGAAAATTTATGTATTTAAGTGAAATATAATGTTTGAATTAAATACATATATTTTTCAACAAAAAAAAATAAAGACAAATTAAATTAATTTTGTCAAATGAACAATTTTTTTGTCTCAGTATAGTATAAACGTGAAGATAATTTTATTGGACTATCAAAATAATTTTTTAGGTCGCTCAAACTGGTTGTCAAAACTTTGCAGCATTGCTCATGACATCATGCTTCAGTTTCCTACATATTTAATTATTTTAATTATTTTAATGGCCCAACAAAATTATTTTCAGACCTGTATCTATCTCAATTTTAGTCACTTCAACATAATCATTCTACTTTTTAAAGTATTCTTTTTTTTCTTTACGTTTCCATTCTTTTTTCCAAGTATAACATAAAAATAGCAATTTTTTAGTTGTGTCGTTGTAACAAATGGGCAATATTTTAAAATCAGGTGGATGCGTCCAAGTGACACCAAAATCCAAAACTTCTAAACGTCGAAAACAAAAAAGTCGCGTTTTGAGATTTAAGAGCTACAGAATAATGGCCTGGAATAAGGACACGCGAAACTTTCAGCGAGTCCGCAACATCTCACGGTTTTTACATCGAGGACTTAACAAATCGAAATGTCGAAATAAAATACGCGCATAATTAAAACACGTGGAAGGAGGAGGGAGAAGAAAAAGAGAGAGAAAGACGAAAATTTTCAGAGGCCGGAGTCCCGGAGTACAACGATTGGACGGATCGGACCTTTAAATTTCGTCGCGCCGACTTTCTCGCGGTCGACCGGGCGGACTACCTAAAACGAGCCGATCGTTCGGCACGTGTGTCGACCGCGAAACCGTTTGCGTATGCACGAATGTACAAAAAATTCGCGCAATCCAAAGCAGCGGTATCCGACAGGTAAGACGAGAGAGAGGAGAGGAGAGGAGAGGAGAACGGAGCAGCGGCGACGCGACGCGGCAGCAAGTAGGTCGTGTGTCGCGTGGATAAATAATCGCACGAAATCGAAGACGTGCGCGCGATCGATCGATCGGCTTGGTTCTCGGCCGGCCGCGCCTCGTCTCGCCGGTTACGGTATCACGAGGGGGGTCAACGATATACAAATACACATCGTATAAAATAAGTACGCACGTACCTCTTCGAAGATGCTGCCGACGTTCGCGGTGATGAGGAGGACCGGGACAGCGTTGCTCGCCATTCTCGCGATCGGATTTGGTGGTGGGCTCTGATTTCTGGAGCTTCGGTACCCTGGTCTCTCGATCCTTGAGGGACAGTCCGCACCGTGACGGCTGTCGTTGGACGACAACGATAACGACTGCGGTGCCGCGGAGTCACGGTTTGTCGACACTCTCGAAGCGAAGCGAAGCAAACCGCACCGCACTACACTACACCGACGACGACGGCGGCGACAGTGACTGAGTGACGGCAACGGACGAACACTAGCAGCAGTGAGCAGCAGCACCAAGCAGCACTCGTGTCCGCGCGACGATCAACGGCGGCCGCGCACGTCGCTCGCACGCACTCGCAGACGACGACGGAGGAGACTCGACTCGCACACTGCTAACAGAACAAACGTCGCTCTATCGGTCGGTCGTCGGTCGTTCGCGCACCTATCTTTCTCGCTCTATCCATCCGTCTCTGTCGCTACGTCACTCTCCTTCTCAC